GACCGGTTGTGTTACTTTTCAAACACCACTCCAAGTGAGCATCTACCAATCCTTTATCAATTTTACAGGGACACTTGAGCTTAGGGGATAGAGGTGGGATATTTCACCAGCTGAAGTACTAGATTTTTTTCTGAATTTGTTGACTACTAGGTTGCATAGTGTAAATATGTCAGTATTATGTGCATTATTGTGGTGAAATTCTGAGCATCTAATTATTATAGGCACAACAGCACTGGTGCATGCCCTCTCCTAGATCCTGCTCTCTGACTTATTAATTTTCTTGCATTGCACGACTCAAATTCGTCGAATGAAATGAAGGAGTAAATTTGTTGCTGCCAATTAACTGCATCAATTAACTGCATCAGTTCTGTTTTCCTCTGCTGTTCTTCTTTCAGTGTGGTGACTTCTGATCCATGAGGCGATGGCATGAAGTCAATAGTTTGCAGTATGTGCAATATGCCGCAGTCTCTCTGTCAATGGACCTGTGACAGCTGAAGCCCAGATGTTGCAGTTTGATGTCTATGGCCAGCAGCAATCTAATGTTGTTGCACCTTTCCTTCCACACACAGCAATGCGGAATATGTCATGGACAGACATTGCTAAACTGCCTCTTTCGAAGAAGCATCGCAATTCTTGTCTGCCAATAAACAACAGACTAGCCAGCTATAATTACAATTTGGAGGTTGGAGACGCGATCCCGTGAACGTATTGCGCCAACTGCAATGAAGAAGGCCGTAGTAATCTGGATTTATTACCATTCTCGTGTGGATAACTATGGCGTTGTGATCCAAGTCATGCAGACTATAAAATGCCTTAGACGTGAGATAGTGAAGGCACTGCCGACAGCAAGCCAACAGTGGGTATGAACCACGCCACCAGCATCATTCTGCACACCAGGAGAATCCAATACATATAGCTGCCAACTCTGATGGTATAGACCCGATAACTTGTTTTCTTACTCTAAGATTGGTATACAATTATACATGTACTAGTGCAATCTCTATCCATATGCGTAATGCACTGTATTTGTTTCCGGTGACTGGAGGTAGTTTATCATAGCACTGTTTTATGTCCTGGTTTTGTTGAAGATAAGCATTATCCAGTTAACTTGCTAGGTACCGTATCAGTCAGCTCTTTTAGCATTTGGCTTTGTGTCAGGGGTGGTTGGCGGTGTCGCGGGTCATTCCACAGTCCGCAAAGTTGACGTTCTCGGCAACGGAGCGACCCAGTAGGCAATTCATCACCGATAAATATACTGTCATTGGTATCACGGTGCACCACAATGGCGTATGGTGTGAATATCATTATATTATTCTGCAGCGAGTCCTTGTCGTGTAGCTTGCGAAAGTTATTGCATACTGTCATTACGTGGATAATGCATAGTACTGTCTGTACACTCAAGTTTCAAGTCCAGTCCATTTTTGGAAATATGGGCTGGACACTAACGAGAGCCTGGTGACGTGTTCATAGGGCTGAGGTATGCCAAATGGTGCCATTGGCTGGGAGTGAAAGCCTTGCCCCACGCCTGCACCCTAAAAAATGTTTCGAAAATACTCAAATTCGACGACGGCTGAGAATCTAGGAAGATGCCGGACCACAGCGAAACAAGTCATCTGGCTGAAAAACGGAATACACCATTACGTTGCCACGGCTAAGCGCAATTTTTAGGCTCACCACACAGGTAGCGAAATGCCAAAACAAACGAGCCATAGACACAAAACCATTTTCCAAAATTGTCCACCATTGAGAATGCGACTCAAAAAGTACCCGCAAACTGCCCAGTGCGGAAAATGAAAAGTCAACTTTTAGACGACTTTTTTGAATCTGGCGCACGGACTCAGTCGATGCGCCAGATTTGAAAAATCACGTCGGAACACAGAGTTCTATTTTTCAGATGCACCCTTTTTGGGCACTTTTCTCAAGGCATTCTCAACATACGATCGTTTTCATGTATGTACGTGCTGGCCAGTCTCACGCTTTCTCGGAGTTATTCGTCACACTCGAGGATTCAGTAGTCGCCTTTCACCTTTTTCTGTTATGAGTTCTTCAAGAACGACGAAATTCTGTAGTTTGGTGTCGCTACACGTCGGTTTGTCTCTTTTCCTTTTTTCGTCGAAATTTCGTCGCCCGACCTATAATTTCGTGCCACCGAATTAACCAGGCATTTCGCTGCTTCTATGCTGGACGTATCGAAAGAGTAAGTCTTTGTGACATTGGAGCGGAAGTTATGTTCTGGCCGAAAAAAGGGCATGCCTCTGGTGACGTGATTTCTAACTAGTGTTTTTACGTATATTTTCCATGCATGTGTGCACAGATGTCAGCGGCAGGAAGACCCAGCAATGCCACAACTGGCACAAGCATACATACTTGACGACCATGTGGCCCAGAATGAAGCATTTGCTCCAAAGTGCCATCTGACAAGCGATTTACACATGACTCAATGCTGTCAGATTGGCAAAAGCTACACACATGCACATCCATCACGTCAGGCCAATGCATTTATTGCAAGTGCGTCAAAGCACTACGACGCCAAGTATGCACAGCAGCGAAAGAAAATAAGCCACCAGTCAGCCAAAGCACATGCAGTGTACATGATTGCAGCGGAGCGGCATCCGTACACTGTCCTGCAGACAAACTGCGCGTGCACAGTCTGAAAGAACAGTGCGAACCGCTTCTGTGCCCAACCCATTACCAGCAGTGTGTGGGCCATGCAACATGTGCTTGGTGTAAGTCGAGACTCACACCAGAACACAGGTGGAAGTCACCAAACTTTCAGCTTGCAGAGCATGTGTTGCGTAGCATGCACCATGTCAGGATTTCAGACGAGAGTCGATTTTGTAGACGCTGCTACCAAAAGCAAATTGACATGCTCCCTGCCGACAATGCACCAAGCACAGACCACCAATTGCGAAGCATCATCTCTCAGTACAGCACGGAAGGTGCCGAGAGTGATTTCCCCAATATTATAGTCATTGCCGCTACAGGACGGGAATTGCTGGACAAGGATGCCATATTGTTGACGACAGTGCACGATTTGTATACAGAGACTTTGCACACAGCTGCTGACCCCAAGCCAGCGGCATACGTGCTCGGCAAATTGAAGTTGACCCTGGAGCACCACTTGCACGTCATTCCACCTAAGTCGCGGAAGGATGGCACATTGCTGCTACGCAATGGATGTAATGTAATGCTGAGAAGGCACTACATATGATCCTTTCTGCAGAGCGTAAACACAAGATAGAGCAAACACCAACAAAGCTGGAAGACCTCACTCTGCCATGCTCACAGCACAATTGATAGCCAGCAACCGAATAATACATGTACTTCACAAATATGGGAACCCATTTACACCAAGTGCTACCGTAAAAGTCCGTAAATAAGTACCTGCCCGAAAGAAATACCCCCTTCATTCTTTTGGCTCTGTCTGGTGAAGTCAAGTCAAGCCCGATAAACATACTGCCCGAAATAAGTACCGTTACGATGCGCACATGCAGCACGTAGCATGTACATCGACATGAAAATGACTTCTCCACTACACACAAGTCAGGTCCGAAAGTTAGTTCGTGCCCGAAAGTCAGTACCCGCCCGAAAGTTAGTACGGGTGTGGTCACTAAATTCAAAAGTAAATACGTACTTATTTACGGACTTTTACGGTATTATCGGACAATGCCATTATGCTCCTAGCACGCGTCACAAGAAAATTATAGAGCTTCGCCAGCATTGCCTTGATTTTGTCGTAATGTGATGGTGTGTGCGTGTGTGTGTGTGTGTGTGGTGTGTGTGTGTGTGTATGTGTGTGTGAACATGGGAACCCATTTACACCAAGTGCTATTATCGGGCAATGCCATTATGCTCCTAGCACGCGGCACAAGAAAATTATAGAGCTTCGCCGGCATTGCCTTGATTTTGTCGTAATGTGATGGTGTGTGCGTGTGGTGTGTGTGTCACTGTGTGTGTGGGTGGTGTGTGTATGACTTTGTGTGTGTGTGTGTGTGTGTGTGTGTGTGTGTGTGTGTGTGTGTGTGTGTGTGTGTGTGTGTGTGTGTGTGTGTGTGTGTGTGTGTGTGTGTGTGTGTGTGTGTGTGTGTGTGTGTGTGTGTGTGTGTGTGTGTGTGTGTGTGTGTGTGTGTGTGTGTGTGTGTGTGTGTGTGTGTGTGTGTGTGTGTGTGTGTGTGTGTGTGTGTGTGTGTGTGTGTGTGTGTGTGTGTGTGTGTGTGTGTGTGTGTGTGTGTGTGTGTGTGTGTGTGTACATTACATATTGCCCTATCAAAAATATATAAATAAACTCGGATGGTGAGCCAATGTAATCATGGATAAAAAGAATAAGGACAAAATGTTACGAGTTATGACTAACTGTCCACCATGTACCAATGTCGCTAGATCATATACAGTCGGCGAGCGCGACAAAAAGGCACAAACTGACAGGGAATACTAAGACATACAACGACCAAATAATATTCAAGTTAATTTCGAAATGTCTATAATTTCGTGCCGTCGGATTAACCAAGCATGCAACGAAAGGAAAGGTATACACGCTTAGACATATATTATTAGGCAATTATCTGCACCAACCTGCATTCCGGCCGAAGCATCATGTCGGGTGTGGTGGGTCGGCATTCCGGCGTATCTCCACACACCAGGAAAATCGTGAAGCGAGAATTCCCTCGTCTGCAACTGGCAAAGTCTTCACTTGACACTCAAGTTGAAATTTCTAGATACCTAGCTAATAGGAGCAGACTTCAGGACATTTGTCGCACTCGGGAATCGTCAGTTCGATCCGTACAGGGTTGGTTAGACACAAGAAATATAGCAAATTTCATTGACTGACATCTTCATCTTTACCAACACAGTTCACCACATAAACTTTCGCGCGAAAAAAATAAAAAGACCCACTCAGCTGGCTTGGCGCATCGACTGGACTGGGTAGCGCTCTAGCCGACTCGTGGGTCCAGTTTTGTGTTGTCATGTGAGACACACCTTTTTGAAAATTCTTATCTCTTCTGTACGTTTGCGCTGCGTGTTGGTTTGATTCTTCTACAATAATTGTAGAACTGGATTTTCCTTAGCTCACTTCACTACCCTTTTTGTAGTTTGCTGTGTACAGTTTAGCTTGCTGCGTATTTATCCACTCGTGATATTTTTATCTGGGAATCTCAACTCCCCGTGGACTACAGCTCTTCACCACAGTGAGTCGGTTATATCTACCCAATTCTATTCTTTTTGAACTCAGATGGTTAGCTCAGGATAAATTTGGAGGAAAAGGAGAAAACACGTGTGCACATCTGACTGTTCAATATCTGGATAATTTGTGGAGTCAAACGCATAACTTGCGCCCCAGTTTTTCAACTTTTTGCCTCTGCTTTATTGACATCGTCCAACAATAGTTTATAAAGACCATAATAGGTGGGGTGCATGTGTGTGTGGAGATATTGACCAGAGGTGCACCCACACTACATGGATGTCGACATTCCAGGCATGAACTTGTTCGTTCTCTGCAGTGACCATTGTTATGGTACACGTTCGTCACACAGGCATACGCCGCTTACGCGCCCACTCTAACACGGGCAGTACGAAGGCTGTATGTCCAGTTACATGTGCATTACACCATGCCGTTATCAATAATTGATCACGGCATCTTTGCCAGCTGTGTTTGGGATTTTTGCCGAAAGGCAAGAATACGTCAGTGGTTCTTGTGCTGTTGTATTAAAAAAAAAAAATCCTTAGGCCTTGCGCCTGCTGGAATGCAAGCGTCGGTGCTGACATTTGGGACGTACACCGACACTGTGAACGCTTTCATCTCCATAGTAGGTGTGCATGTACATACGCAAGTACTGTAAAAGCCCGTAAATAAGTACCTGCCCGAAAGAAATACCCCCTTCATTCTTTTGGCTCTGTATGTTGAAGTCAAGTCAAGTCCGATAAACATACTGCCCGAAATAAGTACCGGTACGATGCGCACATGCAGCACGTAGCATGTACGTCGACATGAAAATGACTTCTCCACTACACACAAGTCAGGTCCGAAAGTTAGTTCGTGCCCGAAAGTCAGTACCCGCCCGAAAGTTAGTACGGGTGTGGTCACTAAATTCGAAGGTAAATACGTACTTATTTACGGACTTTTACGGTACTGCATTCTTGAAATGAAGAATGCACCATCTTTGCATCTGTGCGGCCAGGGAATCCCAGCTCGCGTGCAGGGAACTGTGCCCCGGTCTCGCAGAGTGCTCGGGTTAGCGCGGACTTATCTCACGGCTGTGATTCAGTGCCGTCTGTGTGCGTGTTCTGTTCTGCAGATCTGAGATGCCTGCCAAGCGGTCGCGAGCCAGCATGGCTCACGTGGCCGACAGCCCGGTCGAGCCGAGCAGCAAGAAGGCGAAGACGGATGCGCCCAGCCTGTCCACGTTCACCAAGGAGTCCATCACCAAGCTGACCTATGATGAGCTACGCCAGGCATTGAGGACGTTCGGGGAGAGCCCTGGTCCGATTAGCGATGCTACAAGGTGAGTCCAGAATGGTTAACAGTCGTTTTACTGGTTTGTTACTTTTTGTCTCTATCCACATGATAATGATAATGATAATGGTTAGGCCACACGTTTTTATTTCTATGTTTCTCGTCACCCGCGCGCATACGATTCAGGAGTCTGGAAGAAAAAAAACTGTGCTGCACTGGCTGTGCATGTGGGGACCAGCACACTCATGCACATGTACATAATGTGGCCTGCCCTGCGCGACACATGATGCAAGGACGACATTTTTTTGTGCAATCTAGCTGCACATGCACAGATTGTGACAGAAACTCCTACCACATACTAGTTGCTAACTATGGATCCTATTTTGCATGGTGTATTGGTGAAGAAAGATCTAATAAACTTTTTTTTATTTTTCGGTCATTTTTTCTACCTCTCGCATACGTTTTTAGATTTTCAGGTGACGAGAAACATAGAAATAAAAACGTGTGGCCTTATGATGCTCTTTGAATGTTTTGGAAATGTTGCTTGTGAGGAGGAGCCTGACCCTCGTTCTGTTTTCAAGCCTGATTGCATTTTTGTCCCCTGGGAAATGGTTCGAAGTTTTGGGTTTGAATTACCAGGATTTCACCTGTATTGCAATTTGCAAGACACTCTCCTCTACCCATCAGATACGCAGTAGGTTCACGTATATTTCAGTTTCCTGGTGTGAAGGTGTTCATTTCGTTTTTGTTTCGTTCCCTGTGCGATGACTAGGCCTATGTATGAGCGTATGCTGCTGAAGCGTCAGCAGGAGGAAACGGCTGCCCAGGAGAAGGCAGCCGCAGCGCCGTCGCAGTACGCGTCGGTGCTGTCGCCGCCCACTGGCAAATCCTCGGCTGCCCAGCGCAGCGCGGCCAGTTCCAAGGCCAGCACCGCCGCCGCCATGGAGACCCAGGCACAGTCGCACTTGCTCGGCTCCCCGTGGTCTTCGAGTTCTCAGGCTGCATCCTCGCTGGCCTCTCCCAGGCCGCGTACGAGCACAGTTTCGGCTGCACCAACTACGTTCAGCAGCAAAACTGCCAAGGTTAGGAGCACTTTGTTTTTCATTTGCGGACTACCCGCAGGAATTCATCACTATACACAATGGGGTGTGTGTGTGTGTGGGGGGGGGGGGGGCACTGGCATGTACTGCCTAAAGTTGCCAATTCCATTTGCGACGATTGCGGCCGCACGTGTCTTTCTTCTCTGTCTCGTTCTCCTTTGTAGTTGCCAGCAGCCAGCGCGGGGCAGAGTATGTGGTGCAGTGTGTGCGCATGAAGAAAAGAGAAGAAAAAAAGAAATAAGACCAAAAAGTAGGGATTCGCTGGCGAGAAAAGCCACTTCAGTAGCGATGTGGCATGACTCGGCTAGATAGTGGCTGTCAGTTCCTCAGCCTTGCAATCTATTGAATGCTGCAATCCTACCACAAGATGGTGAGGCTTCTGCCGTAGCATAGCTATCATAGTCTCGACTGATGGGTATTTTTTGTAAGTACGCAATTATGTGTGTGTGTGTGTGTGTGTACGTGTGTGTGTGTGTGTGTGTGTATGTCTGTCTGTCTGTCTGTCTGTGTGTGTCTGTGTATGTGTGTGTTTCTTGTGCCGGCATGCCTGTGTATTTATGTGCTGGTGTGTCTCTGTGTGTTCTCCATCTGTTACTACTCTGGTCCACAGACATCGATCAATGCACGCGACACTAGAGGCCTTGTTGCCGCGACATACACACCGCTCACTTCATCCGGGTGAGTCAGTAGCTGGAAGTGTTTTTAATTACAGTAAAATCTGGTTTAAGCGACCACCCCACGGTGCAAGCAAAAGCGGTCGTTAAAGCCAGGTGGTCTTTAGAACCAGGTCCCACAGTGTCTGTGTAGAACTGTCGGTGCATGGAAAAACGGTCGTTAAGAGCAGGTGGTCGCTAAACCCAGAGGTCGCTTACACCAGGTTTTACTGTACGGGTGATTTGGGAACAGGCAATGTTTACATTCGAATCGTGTACTTACCCGTGTGTGTGTGTGTGTGTGTGTGTGTGTGTGTGTGTGTGTGTGTGTGTGTCTGTATGAATTGGAATACGTCTTGTATAGGCAGTAGTTTAGAGCAGACCCGCTCTTTCCATTCACTTTGCAACTATATCAAACTCGTTTTCATCAATTGCATCTTCTATGTTAGAATGGGCTCGGATGGAGAGCCAAGGATAAATAGTAAAGAAAAAAGGACCAAGAAACTACAAGTTATGCTATAATGTCCACTAACACCACCAGTTACTTTACAATCAGCTCATGCGATAACATTGCACGACACTGACCGACGGTACTGACGTTCTACACCTAACTGGCTATGTTATTTTATAATACAGTGCATGGGTTCACGTGTTCGTCGTGTGACTAAATTTCTGTAGGAAGTGATCATGGCATGTGGACAGTGGAGCCAACATGGCCGACATCATGTGACCCATAAATGCAAGCGCTGAGTGGAGCTAGAACCAACATGACTGTCCCTTATGGTCATGTGATAGGTGTGAAGCCACTCTACTGATCGTTTTTCCATGGTATAATGTTACAAGTATGTATTTGAATGTTACAAGAAGTAAGTATAGGTGCATTGTAGCAGTGGTTGTCCCTCCGAATTGGACTGATCTGCTTTTGCATTCGAGTCGGGGTGTTGGATTTACAGAAGACGGTTGGCCTTTTGTCTGGCTAGCGCAGTGATGTATTGATGGTTTTCATGGTCTTCTCTTCCTGTTATGGTATGTGGGCAGTGATATCAACCTGGCTGTTATTGATCAGTATGCTGACCATCTCTCACAGCAAGGCGTTGCAGGAGTGTTTGGTAAGGGTCTTTCTAACTCTGCGTGGTTTTGTTTCTTGCTCTTATCAGGACTTTGAAACTTAGGGCTCGTTAGGCAGCTTTTGCTCTCGGACCAATGCAGAATACATGTATTCCTGGGTCCTGTGGCTGGTGCTGCTGCTGCAACAGGTCTTGTTGCTGTGGCTGCTGCTGCTACTGTTGTTGCTGCTATTGCTGGTACGGGTGCTGCTATTGCTAGTACGGGTGCTGCTATAGCCAGTACGGGTGCTGCTGCTGTTGCTCTTCGCATACAGTTTGGTTGTGGTGATGCCAGGGTATCACAATGGAGCAGTTCAGTATTGTGCCCCAGGTACTATAACATACTCAGGGATACGAAGTATTGTTTTTGATAACCTTTCATTTGATCTTGGATAGAGCATCTCGGCTATAAAGTACCGGTGGTCACAGCCCTTGGAGGATGTGTCTTATACTGAGTTTTACTGTTGCTTTTTTTGGTGTTTTTTGGCGTTCCCTTTGGTGCCTGCAGTGAATGGCACTACGGGAGAGGGGGTGAAGTTCTCCGTGGACGAGCGCAAGGACCTTGTGGAGAGGTGGATGTCTGCAGCGAGCGGAAAGTGAGTGCAGTGCGTTCGCGGTGCCCTGCTTAGACTGTGGTGATGGAGCGACTGCCATGTCGTGAACACCGAAATCCAAATACAGTATAACCTGTGACGAACGACCACCCCTTGGGGCCAGAGAAAGCGGTCTTTAGTGGCAGGTGGTCATTAGTTAGAGGTTTGCACCGCACAACCATATAGGAATGTGAGACCGTCCGTGCCTGGCGAAGTGGTCTGTAGTACCAGGCTGGTCGCTAGTCACGGTGGTCTTTAGTTACAGGTTTTACTGTACTGCTGATAGACAGCACCATACTCCTATGTAGGTGTAGTCATCCGGTGAGGCTGTGTGCAGCGCTGATGCGTTTTGCTTGCAACGCCATCCGTCATCTGATTGCCACTGGCATGAGCATCCAAGCATTGTTACGTACAGGAAGACCTGTCGAGGCGACCACCTGTCCCAGAAGGCCACTGAAATCAACACCAAGGGATCCTTTTTCCAGTCAAATGACCCTGGATAAAGAGACCACGCTTTGAATGTTCCCTGAGCGATTGTCTTAGACAGGGTTCGCTGTACTGTCTTCCTCCTGCCATGCTGCACAGCTGAAACTGTTGTCTTTCTAAATGGGTAAGGCGGTCACCTCTTCTACTGAAAGCGCCTTCAGCATTCTTTTACCCTGTATATCTCTCAAGAGGAGAGGAGAGAAATGACCACCACCCTCTCTATGTGGAGCTCATTGAAAATGGGAGGCATCTAACACCCCTGCCTCCTTGTTCAGAATTGACCAAGGGCTGCCTTCCCAGTAGCGTACACTGGCAGAAAGGCAGGCCACACAACAGTAGCATGTCAGTTGCCCGACACCTTCGGGACCGGGGCCCTGTTGGTTGAACGAATATTCCGGATAACTGAAGCTGAACTATGACCATCTATCCTAGTATCCACGCATCATGACCAAATTGTCGCGGGGCAGTTGTTGCAACCCCTGGCAAAGCCCGGCATTGGAGCCAGGCATTGCCAATGGTCATAAATCATGGATGAACGGCATTGGAGTCACACATACCCAACATGTGTAGATCATGGATGAGCGGCAATTTGTGACAGCCTGCAAAGCGATGATTGAAATCAGGCACTGCTACAAGTCTCTAGGTGCGTGTAAATCTATTTACAGGGATGGGTTTCTGGGTGGCATAGGAAGGTCGTAATGAGCGTGTTTGGATGTGATTTTTATTTGTGCGCATGTCTGCGTGGCTGTGTGTGTGTGGCTGTGTGTGTGTGTGTGTGTGTGTGTGTGTGTGTGTGTGTCACTGTGTGTGCGTGCACGCACGCGCGTGTGTGTGTATGTGTGCTTGTGCGCTGGTTGGTTGGTTGGTGGCGTGAACAATCTCAGGCTATCCGTGTTTGTCCACGTGGGTGCGGAGAGCATCAAGGACGCACAGGAAATGGTAAGAAGACTGTAGAGTAGCTTGGTTGTGGTCTGTGTGTACCCATGAACTCACTGGCAGGGTGATTGAGTCTCATCTCCCAAGTCTTTTTCCAATGTCAAAGTTTCATGCTTGGTGTCACCCTCACACTGCGTAACACATGTACAGTAAAACCTGTGACTAGCGACCACCCCTTGGGGGCAGAAAAAACGGTCTTTAGTGGCAGGTGGTCTTTAGTTAGAGGTTTGCACCGCACAATCATGAATGTGAGACCGTCTGTGCCTGGCAAAGTGGTCTGTAGTACCAGGCTGGTTGCTAGTCACGGTGGTCTTTAGTTACAGGTTTTTCTGTACCAGTTTTCTGCTGATTTTGAAATCTTCAACCCACTGGTCAGGTGACAATGCTGCTGTGTGTATACGTTGGGGTGCAGTAGCATGATACTGGTGCTTCATGACGTTGCTATAGTGCTGATTCAAGATCAAGTGCTGTTACGTACGCCTTCAATAGACCTGTCAGCTCATGCTCTCTCTCATTATTTTGTGTGTGTGTGTGTGTGTGTGTATGTGTGTGTGTGCGCGTGCATGTGTGTGCGTGTGCATGTGTGTGTGTGTGTGCGCGTGCATGTGTGTGCATGTCTGTGTGTGTGTGTGTGGCAATGTCACCCCCTCCGGGGGTGACATTGCCCATTGGGCAGTCATGCTATAGTAGTAGTAGTAGTGTGTGTGTGTGTGTGTGTGTGTGTGTGTGTGTGTGTGTGTGTGTGTGTGTGTGTGTGTGTGTGTGTGTGACCGTTCTGCTGCAATGTTTGCTGGTGTTCTCTTCCAGGCTATTCACGCTTCTGAAGTGGGTGCGCACGCCATCGCTGTCATTGCTCCGACCATGTTCAAACCAAAGACAGCAGGTACAGTCCTGTGCACTAATATTAGAATACCTATTGAAGCTCCCACTGTTTAGGCGCTGCATCTGCGCCTTTGATCCTAGAGGGTGGTGGCGTTCCCACGACGGATGCGGAAAACTGGGCTTCCAGCCGAATCTCACGCGAACCGTGAATTTTTTTTTAATTTATTGAAGCTACCCTTGCCCATTGTTGTTCGGTGTAATACCCATTGTAATCGAGGAAGTCCACAACTTCAGTATCTTCTTATTAGAGAGGGTAAGATGCACGTTATTTCTGATGTGACGCGAAAGTTCAGCTCGCGTTATTTGGCTCTCGCGCCGAAAAACAACGCGAGTGACCTGCAGCTCGCGTCGAAATGTGGAGTTTTACGCCAAATTTGACGTGAAATTGCGCGTCACGCCGGAAATAACGTGCATCTTAACCTTTCTAATAGTGCATTTCTAACATGCGCAACATGTTCTCCAAACGTTAAAGCCGAAGGTAATTGAGTTGTCAAATGAGCGTACCGGTAACATTTTCCAACTCAACCAACAGCATAGCGATGCGTGTCTTGGCCTTTTTGTTTGTACGGTGTCCTTACAGTTTCGCACTTTGATGGGTGGTGTGTGAGGTGATTTGTGTTTCAGTAGCGAGATTAGCGTGTGCGTTCTTGTGTTTGTGTTATCTCCGTGTCATGGTGACTGTTTGTGTTGGTTTGGGTTTTTGTTGTTGTGCTGCTAGATCACATGGTTGACTATTGTGCAGCGGTGGCACTAGCTGCACCTGACGTGCCACTTTACTATTATCACATCACCGGTCTGACTGGCGCTACTTGTGAGTACATGTATATGTAGACTCATGTCAATCTTGCTACTGGTTTGGTGGTGCTGGTGGTGGAGATCGTGGTGGTGGTGGTCGTGGTGATCGTGGTGCTGGTGCTGGTGCTGGTAATCGTGATGGTGATGTTGTTGACGGGGTGGGTGGTGCTGGTGCTGGTGATCGTGGTGCTGGTGCTGGTGGGAAGGGGGTGGTGATGGCGGCGGCAAAGGCGCTGATTGTTATGTGATTAATGGTGTTGGGACAACTCGTTCTTTTGCTGGTGGTGCTTGTGCTGTTTGGCTTCATTCTGGCTGCTGATGGGGGTGTCATTGTTCTGGTGCTAGGGGTGGCTGCACCGCACAATGCTGCTTTTTGCTTCTCCGTAGTACTACCACTTTGGCTGATGGGACTTGGACACCGCATGATCTGTAGACCCCCCCCCCCCTTCCACGGGTTTTCATCGAGCTGTCATGACTGCATCAATCAACGAATGTAAAGATTCCCACTAGTACGTGCAGTCAACACCATACACTAAGGCTGGACGAGGAGCCTCCTAGATAGGCTTTCAGTCTTTGCTAGAATCCTTGATTAAACAAATGAATTAGGAGTGGTTTTCCAGTATGCCTACTGGCTGTAAGATGGTGAAGGTAAGATAATAATAATTTTGCTGGCATTGACTAAAAGCTCTTGTTCCAAACTGTACTGTGTTTTAGTGATGGTGTCCTGACAGGGAATATGCTCTTGTCTTGTGTGCGCTGTTCCCTCCTTTCTCTAGTCTCCATTGAAGATTTCCTAGATTCGGCCGTTACCCGTATCTCATCCTTTGCTGGCGTGAAGTACTCCGAGGCCGATCTGGCCATCTTCAACTCCTGCCGCTATCACAACGACCGCACACTGCACATGATGTACGGCAAAGATGAGGTAAGGTCATGTGACCGGATGCATTCTCTTCAGCTAGCCTGGGCTAGGCCGTACGAGAGGTGGGGAGTGGGAGGGGGGGAGTTTCCCATCCCCTGACCGAGGAGGATGAGGTATGGTCATGTGACCTGATGCATTCTCTTCTTCAGCTAGCCTGGGCTGGGCCGTACGAGAGTGGGGGGGGGGGCTTTCCCATCCCCCTGACTGAGGAGAATGAGGTATGGTCATGTGACTTGATGCATTCTCCTCAGCCAGGCCATATGAGAGGTGGGGATCTTTTTTTTGGGGGGGGGGGGGGGGCTTTCCCATCCATGTGACCAAGGAGTTGGTTCTTACCAGGTGCAGTGTTTACTCTGTATGCCAGGTTCTCATCAATCGTCCTTAGTCTGTGTGCTTGGTGGGGGACTAGATGCAGAACAATACCATTGTGTGCACTCATAAACCATACATTTGCTTCTGAGGCCATCTCGGCTATGTGTCATTACAGCGTTGCACCCCAGTGGACCCAGTGCTCCGTCAGACCTGTACCGCATGTTGTGTGTGTGTGTGTGCGTGCGTGTGTGTGCGCGTGTGTGTGCGCGTGCGCATGTGTGTGTGTGCACACAAGTGTGTGTGTGTGTGTGTGTGTGTGTGTGTGTGTGTGCGTGCGTGCGTGTGTGTGTGCGCGCGTGCGCATGTGTGTTTTGTGTGCATGCACGTGTATGTGTGTGTGTGTGCGTGCGTGCGCGTGCGCGCATGTGTGTTTGTGTGTGTGTGTGTGTGGCTGTGGCTGTGTTCATGTGTGTATTACTCTGCAGCAATTGCTGGCAGCATTGGCCATGGGCGCTAACACGTTTGTTGGCAGGTTAGTTGTGTACACACGGGGGCCGCCTTTCTACAGCTGCATTGCGTTTCTTGCAAGAATAATAATGAGCGTAGTATGCTTGATTAATATGGTGGTAAACACACACCCGGCAATATGGCGGTAAATACACGCCTACTAGTGGTGAAACGAATATCCAAACCCGGTATCCGAATATTCTTCGGCTTAATGAACGAACAAACGACTATTCTTTCGTTAACGCGCATGATGTCACATGTCATTCTTTCACTCATTAAAACGGATATTGTGACTATTGTTGTGCATGACAAACGGCAGTGCCACCTAATGCAACATGTTATGTACAACATTGGTAGCCCTGTACCGTAGTACCAAGAGTAGATAAACAAGAGTGTGCAACTCGCGGATGGGTTGGCCCACGGCGGAATTTTTTGTTGACGTAATCTTTTCGACGACGCACGCGCTATGAGTCTTTTGGAAAGTTTTCCCTCGTGCACTTGGCCGCATTTGCACTACAAAGCCCAGCACGTGCTCTCACACTGCTCTGCAGCAAAATGCGCGTTCTTCTGAAAAAAAGGTGACGTCAACAAAAAATTCCGCCGTGGGCGGGGGTATCTGCAGATTGTGCAGGAGAGATCCGGAGTTGCACACTCTTGTTTATCTACTCTTGGTAGTACTAGTAGACTACAGCATTACACGTACCAATTCTACTATTAGCGAGTAGGCAACAATGCTTGTGGTGAAGTAAAATAAAAGACTAAAAGTCAACCCTCAACAACAAAAACTATTATCTGTCACATGATTCACAGAATGATGAGAATAAGGAAGCTAGCAACTATCACAACGTAGCGAGAGTCAGATGCAGTGGCAAGTTGGGCAAGGATGACCACTCAGGCACTTATGCAGTCATGACTCACAAAGAGGGGAGAGCTGGGAGCTCATCTGCGACAACCATGTCCATAGCTACTGGTGCTGGAGTAACATATTGAGCGGAGCGCATTCCACGATTTTGCTGCAAGAAAATCAAAGCTTCGACATTCTCCTCCGAAAAACCTGCACGGCGCTTTGACACAATATGGCCCACTGCCGAGAAAACACGTTCTGAAGGCACAGAGGTTGCAGGAGTGCACAGTACAGCCTTGGCAATCTCAGCAATATGCGGGAATCTGCACTCATTCAGCCGCCACCACTGCAGTGGGTCTGTGGAGGAAGGAGCTGGTGTCTCGCTGAAGTACGCTTCAACCTCCTTCTTCATTTGAACACTCTCTGTTGCCTCCTCCTCCGTTGCCGCGCCAAAGAACATGTCGAGGGAAATGTTGGGACGCTTAGCAGGTGGCTCAACTAAAACTGGAGTGTTGTCGTCGTCATGACCACCCTGCTGTCTGCTTGCAGGACGTACAGCGGTAGAGCACCTCTGCCTTCACGGCAGAGCGACCAGATGCATCCAAGAACGGCAGTGATCTAGATCGCGGATCAAGTGCTGCAGCAACGGTTTGGTGGGAGCTTAGATCCAGGGGATCCAGAGCAAACTTGGTCGCGATCTCATCACTAAGCTTCTGGCAAATATGGCGAACCACTGCTCCATCCTCACCAGCAGCTGAGGCAGCTTCACTGTCAGCCATTGACCTCAATGACATCATTACCGGCAGGATGCAGGACATTGTGAGGTACTTCTGTCCACTCAAGAGCGCTGTGGCTTTCTCTGCAGGAGCAAGCACCTTGATAAGCTTCTCCGCAGTTGCCCACCGCTTCTCTTTCATCAAGAGAGCTCTGTGGTCCGCTTTCGGAGTCTTCACAGAATCCACAAGCACAGTGGTGATATGCTTGCGGAGCTCCAGAAGACGCTCCAGCATGTAGAAGGTGCTGTTCCACCTTGTGGGCACATCCTGTATTACACGCAGGGGCTATTGCAGCTTGTTGTTATTTTCCTTGGCATACGCCAGCTGCACTGCGTTCACGTGCTGGCTTGCCACTGAGCTGCGGTGAAAGTGTGACACAAGTCGGCGACCCTCAGCCAACAGCTTTTGCACAGGTCAAGGGTATGGCGCAGGCATGTCTGGAGTCTATGAGCAGCACACACGACTCCCTGGACTCCAAGCTTCTCAGTCAGCATCCTGCTCGCCGCAACCATATTAGGAACTTCATCGTGCACAACTGCGATGACCTTGCCAGCAATGCCAAACTCCGTTACAATTTCAGTGAACTGTTTGGCGAGATTGTCAGCAGTGTGCCTGCCATCCAACGGCCGAGTTGCCAGCACAAAACTACGGAGCTTCCACTCGCTGCTGAGAAAGTGCACAGTGAATGTGGAGTACGAACGCACAGCCTTCGACGTCCAGGAATCCGTCGTAACAGCAACATACTCGACTGACTTCAGCGTGGTCTTGATTTCCTCCTTGCCATCTGCATGTCTTCGTCGCACAATCGACGCCACATGCGTACGGCTAGGAAGAGAATAGCCTGGCTGAGCGAGGGCGAGAAGGCGCTGAAGACCGCCGTCATTAACGACGTTCAGCGGTCGCATGTCCGTCGTGATCCACTTGACGAGCGCCTGGGTCATGCCTTCAGAGGTGGCAACGCTGCAAGGTTTGGCGCTGCTCTTCGGTTTCGCGGCGACAAATTTGTCCAGTGCACCAGACTTCATTACACCAGCCGCGAGCGTCGGTTTTCCAGCATCACTGTCATCTGCAGCAACTACGGACGGATGGGCAGACTTGAGATGCGACTGGAGGTTACTCGTGCCGCCATGGTAAGCATACGTTTTCTTGCAAACTACCGTCTTTTCGTTTTCTAAATGTTTTTCGAAATGGTCCCACACTGTGGAACGAGACGCTCTGGAGAAGACCGGCTTCTTCGATGCCATGACAAAAACACAAACCGTCTACTTCTGTAAGCAAACGCAAAAGACATCTTGGAAAGTTGGAGAGGAAAAGTGGATCTTCGACCCTGCGTGGACGAAGAACAAGCGAGAGCGGGGCTGGTTTGTAGTTTCTACGTCTTGCTTTCACATTTCACACTGGCTGCAGCATGGCTTTTCCACAAATTTCCAGACAACATGTACAGTAGACACGCGTTTGTCAGGAGTCTTGTTGGTGCATGCAGTGCAGTAGTGACTAGTACTAGTAGCAGTACTAGACATGACATAACAGTGCATTTGATGATCTAAGCCCGCATGCAGTAGGAAGCCACAGAACAGGCCGGCCGTACGCACTGCACTGCACTGGACTGTGTAGTACCGTCCTGCGCTCCGCGTGCATTCAAAGTGAGAAACCGAACGAATATTCGCCATGCGAAATATTCGTTCGAATGTCTCAAACCGAACGAATATTCGAATATTCGGTATATTCGTTTCACCACTAACGCCTACCCACACACGCTCTCTAGGTTCTCTGGGCATATTAAAGGAGAGTGGGCGTTTCAGAGGTAGAGAAAGAAAGAGAAAGAGAGAGAAAAAGAGAAACTTTGAGAGAGAGACAGACAGAGAGAGAGAGGGAGAGAGACACACAAGGGACAAAGGCAGAGACTTGCTTGATGAAAATGATACGTTACTATTTATTCGTGAAGACTTGGGAACAGAAACAAAACATGTCATGAGAAAGAACAACAGGAAAAAGAAGCACACTCAACTAATCCGTGTGTGTGCGTGCATGCAGTACAACTATGACGTAATGAATATAGATACACATCACGCCCCTTCGAGATGTTGCGAAACCTGTGACAGCAACATCTATCATAAATAAAACAAAATGAAGAATGAAAACAACAAAGCAGAGACAGCAGAAATTGACATTAGTGATCAAGAGTGTCAATCATAGGACTGTCCATGATGCGAACCAATGTTTAAACGCTGGGGTGGCTTGCGCTGACGTGCGCTGCGGCGGGACGGCGGCGGCGGGGAAGAGGCGTCAGCAGCAGCCGGTTGGACAACAAGCGGTGCAGGCACAAGTGGGCGATACGGACGCAGGAATCTGCGGTTCCGCCAATAAATGCGACCACTCGGCAACTTCACTAGGTAGTCCCGATGATTACCGACAGCAACAATGACCCCACGAATAGACCACTGCTTGGTGCGCGGATGCTGAACATCCACGTGGGTGCCGAGGCGGAGCTGCGGCAACGAGCGACGAGTTGACGACTTGTCTGTGACGGCATCGTCGGATGGCATGGCAGTCTCATCACGTGTCGTCGCTTTGGAGAGCCAGGATGAATCAAACTCCTTCCAATGTGCAATGACGAATGACTGGAGAGAGCGGCCATATAGGAGCTCAGCGGGGCTCTGACCAGAGGAGCCAGGTGTGTTTCGCCATTCCAGTAGCCCTCGGCGGAAGTCATCTGTGTCAAGATTGCCATTCACGGTTGTCTTGGTGATAAGACGCTTCATGGCTTTGACAGCAGCTTCGGCGTGCCCATTACTCTGCGGGTAGTGGGGAGAGGACATGACATGGTTTACCTGCCAGCGCTTACAAAACTCAGCAAACTTATGCGAGGAGAACTGGGGACCACCATCTGTACACAGCACAGCAGGAACACCAACATCAGAGAACCAGCGACGGAATGCGAGTATCACGTCATGCGATGAGGTGGTGCGGCCAGTACGCGCGACACAGGGCCAACCGGTCAAACGATCTGCATACACAAGAAAGTCGTGACCTTGACAAGTGAACAAATCGGCAGATGCACATTCAAACGGGAGTGTTGGGGTTCGGTCGTTCAGCAGGGGCTCAGCTGGCTGGGACGACTGGTGTTCGCGGCAAGCAGGACAAGAACGAACGAGTGTATCAATGTCCTTGGTGATACCGGACCAGTATACAAGCTGACGCGCACGAGACTTAGTACGCACTAGGCCTTGGTGTGAAGCGTGGAGGTTGTGCAATACCTGAGCACGCAATGATTCAGGAACAACAATGCGGTTGCCCTTCAACACAATGCCATGGTCGACGGAGAGATGCTCACGTCCATTCCAGTACGCACGTAACGGAGCAGGCAACTTCTGCTGGCGATCAGGGAATCCAGTCAAGATACACTCAATCAATGACTGGTACGTGGCATCTGCAGCTGCAGCTTCCCGCAGCTCTGCAACCTTGAGATTCGCATTCGGCTCAGTGTCCGAGTGCACCATGCAGATCTGAATGCTGCGGCAATGAAGCGACGGGGCTTCACCAAGCTCATCAGTGGTGGAAGGAATGCCAACAGGATTCCGGGACAGCGCATCGGCGAAGGCATTTTCAGAACCTTTTCGCCAAGATGCCTGCAGCTGATAGGCTTGGAGCTTGAGGCGTAATCGTAGAAGACGCGGGTTCTCGATCTGATCCAACGAATATGAGTTGATGATCGGAATCAGGGGCTTGTGGTCGGTGACTACTTCAAATGGCGCACCAGACAGGTAGATGCGGCATTTGCGCACGGCCCATACTACAGCGAGCATTTCCAACTCGATGACGGCATAACGTGTTTCAGCATCAGACAGGTAGCGGGATCCACACTGAATAATACGCCACTGATCATTCTGCTTTTGCCAAAGCACGAATCCGAGACCTCTTAGAGCGGATGCATCGGTTTCAAGCCGGAGGTCTTGACCAACTTGATAGAAAGCGAGAACCGGAGGGGACAAGAGAGCTTCCTGCGTCCGTTCAAACGCTGCAGTGTGGCTAGCGTCCCACATGAACTCACGGGAGGTCTTGAGCAGGCCACGCAGAGGATTGGTCAACTCGGCTAGATGTGGAGTGAACTCGCCACATTGGTTCACTAGACCGAGGAACGAACGGAGATCGGTTCTGTTGGCGGGTACTGGAAACTGGCGAATACCGGACGTCTTATCACTGTGAGGCGCTTCTCAGTGCTGCCCTTCTTGTCTACTATGACAATCGGATGGCACCATTCACTGGGCTCCGTCACTGGTTCAATAATCCCGTCGCTGACCATGCCGTCGAGCTGAGTCTTGATCTGGTCACGGAATGCATACGGTATTGGTCGAGCAGTGTGCACACAGGAAGGCTTAGAATCATGCTGTAGCTCAATTTCCATTGGCGGACCTTCCATTGGCTTCAGACCGGAATCCGAGAAAACGTCAGCGAACTCTTGCAGGAGCTGCTCACGTGTTCGCGCTAACTCAGCATCACTAGGATGAGCGCATGACGAAACAGCTGCACAGATCTTGGGTGAAGATGCACCCTCGTGTTCAGCGGTGAATTGGACTGGCCAATCAGGTGGGAGAAACTTCAGCGCACGCAATGAGGTATGAGAGAGCAGGGCATCGTGTAGACCCTTGTACACATGGATGACGGTTTCATGCTGCGTCTCACCGACTCGTAGAGTCGCACGTATCTTGCCCAGGTTGCGTAGCGGCTCACCGGTCACAGCCTGCACACAGTCGTGGTCGTCATCTAAGTTCTCGACGAACCCACCGATCTGCGTGAGGTGCTCCTCACCAATGGCATCAACGTCGCTGCCTGTGTCTGGTGTCCAGGACAGTTGGGATGGCTGATCCTCTGTTTGCAGCATGGTCGAAACAGGTACTGTGCGACGGTCCACGCGAGACGCACGCTGTAGCTTCAGCTGTCCAAGCTTGGCAGCAGAGCTAGTCTTCGGCTGTTTCTGGCTCTTGCACATTCGCTGAAAATGCCCAATGCCATGACAGGAGTTGCACTTCTTGCCCTTGGCAGGACATACAGATTTCGTGTGGTCAGAACGACCACAATTTGGACAAGTGGACTTGGTCGCACTTGACTTAGAGTCAGCTGGCTTGTGACGTTTCTGCTGCTTGTACGCCGACTGCTTGGCAGCACTTGCCTGGAGGCCAGGACTGGGCATGTGTGCCTTGGTGTGGTATGCTGCTTCCTCCGTCCGACAGAGGGTGACAGCCTGGTCAAGCGTGAGACCATGAGTTGCGAGCAACTTGTGTCGCGTCTCATCGTTCCGCACACCAATGACGACGCGGTCGCGCAGAGATTCCTCCTTGAGGGTACGGCCGAGGCCTTTGCACTGCGCACAGCAGCGAGCATCACACGTTCCACATAGGCTGTGTGACAAGAAGTCGCATGCACTTTGTAGTTCACACAGGGCTGTGTAAAACGCATCAAATGATTCTCCAGCTTGCTGGACACGCTGGTAAAACTCTATGCGGTCCAACAGTGGATTACGTTGCCGTCTGATATACGCCTGAATGCGCTCCAGCATCAGGTCGACGTCAGCTGAAGCTGGTATGCAAATAATATCCTCTCGGATAAAACGTCGCAGCTCCTCATCGAAACACTGACGGAGTGTTGCCACTCTGGCCTCACGAGCCTGGCTGGCCAAATGCTGGCAAACACTAAAATCTCTCCAGCTTTCAACGAAGGAGTGAAAATCAGCCAGCGTCGCAGACGACAATAAGTGTGGGCAGGACACACTGTTCACTGGCCGTGGTGCTGAGGTCTGCGAGGTGGACAGAGCTGGTGCTGAGGGCTGCGGAGTGAACTGAGGCTGCGATGGTGATAGCGACCTGCTCTGAACATTCTTGAACAGATCTTGCATCGCCTTATCACGAGCCTCAGCTGCACGCATCTGCTGCTCCATAAATTTCATCAGGACACCCATTTGAGATTCCTGCTGTCGCTCGGTCGCGGAGGACAGGTCAAATCCGGTATCGTCCTGTGATTGTTCCATTACGATTAGTCACTCGTCCACGAGTACGAACAAATACACTACTAAAATAATTCAACTGAGACAGAGTTTCGATCGCGGAAACTACTACTTCATACGGAAAAAAACAACTGGGCCCGTGCAAACACTACAAGGTGCGGACACAAGGCACGGACACAGGAAAGAACAAGTTCACTGCGCCATGATACGTTACTATTTATTCGTGAAGACTTGGGAACAGAAACAAAACATGTCATGAGAAAGAACAACAGGAAAAAGAAGCACACTCAACTAATCCGTGTGTGTGCGTGCATGCAGTACAACTATGACGTAATGAATATAGATACACATCAGAAAAAACAAGAGTTACAAACCGTCCTTGCTCTCTGATCTGGATCTGGTCCAGTACAGGGGGGCTCAAGATAATACCAAAGTAAGTGGGCCAAGAAAACAAAAGTTTATGTGGAAGGTTAGGCAGACTAAGGAGAGTGGGGATTTCAGAGGTAGAGAGAGAGAGAGAAAGAGAAACTTTGAGAGAGAGACGGAGAGAGAGAGACACACACACACAAGGGCCAAAGGCAGAGAAAAAAAACAAGAGTTACAAACCGCCCTTGCTCTCCAACATGCCGTCCTTTGCCACCATCATTATCTTGTTGTTCATGTCCACAATGCACACCTCGTCGGATAGACAGTTCCGTTGTTGCAGCAAAACGATCAGAATCGTCATTGCAGTCATCGTCATTGCAGTCATCGTCATTGCAGTCATCGTGTGGGGTCGCCCCCACAGTAAAGACCCCTGGGCAGATGATGGCCAAGGTGGTAAAACACCTTTGAGCTGTTGTGCGCGAATGCAGAGAGCTCCTTCTCCGTCTCGGTCTTGGTGACCTTACCGTGGCACTGCTTCGACAGACCGTTGTAAATCTCCACGGCTGCAGGTGACAGCTGGCACTCGAGGAACACCACCTCGGACAAAAACTTCTCGTACCTCGCTGTGAACTGGCGAACTTTGGGATACATAGCACGCAGGCCTAGGTCAAGCCAGATGCGGTTGCACATCACGGCGCAGTATTGTGCGAATGCTTCTGCTGAGTCTCTTTTCAGCTGCTCAATTTGTTCATCCTTGTCGAGGAGTCGGCTCTCCAAATGTCCTGTGAGCTTCTTGTAGCTCTCAGCTAAGAGCGTCGGCTCCAGTGGGCCTTTTCTCAGAGGGCGAACACAAGACGATAAGGATAACAGGTCGCGTCGACTCAAAACACGCAAGGTGGATAACGCCATCGTACCAGCAAGTTCTGCTCACAACTTTGGCAAGTCTTCTCACCCTTCCTTTATCCTCTCTCTCTTTCAGTCGGCCAAGAAAAAGACAAAAAAAGTGAAGAGTTTTCTAAATCAAATTGTATGTCTATCCGTTGGTGTGTGTATGAAGAGTTGGTGGACAAGCCATTAGTTAGCTACTCTCATTGAGTCATTGTAAAATCGAAAAAAGCTTTTTTCTCTTTTTAGACCAAGAGTGGTACTTCGAGTACATATGATTAGTAAAGATAGAAAATATTCACAGGTTTGAGGGAAAGACACAAACGGGAAAAGTCTGAAGAAAAAATTGACTGTCAGCACCAGGTTTCGAAGATTGAAATAGTTACGATGTTTTTCCAGACGTTTCGTCGTTCTGAACAACATCGTCAGTGGATAAAGAAGGTGTGTGTGTGCGTGTGTGTGTGTGTGTGTGTGTGTGTGTGTGTGTTTGCATGTTATGTGTTATCCTTTAGCACTTACAATCTGTACCCCAAGCTGTATCATGCAATCGCTAAGGCGTTTGAGAACGGCCGCATGGACGAGGCCAGAGATCTTCAGGTGAGTTCACTGTGCATGAATGTGTCCCCTCAGGGTCTACACTGTGTGTGTGTGTGTGTGTGTATGTGTGTATGTATGTATGTGTGTGTGTGTGTGAGGTCGATAAAGATCCACAGGGGCGGATCCGGGGAATCCCCTAAATTTGGCTAATGTACTACTGGAAACCGTATGCATGTGCATGTACATGTATCAGTTATTTGGCTAAACTGGACACCCACCCCTGTAGAGATCTCTGTATCCACCCCTGATAAATGTCTATCAGTTCTGTCCTCTATCGTCGACACCGGCACATGTATGCCTCATCCTCAATGGCTTGCGGAAAATTCCTCAGCAGTGAGGACATTTACGCGTGTGAACTGGATGAGTGGAAATGCTTTATAGGGTATTCACACGACAGGCAAATCCACGTGCACCGGAAAGTTGCAGGGAGTGACATACGAGGAAAAGTGACTATATGGATTCACACAGCTGCACTTGACGACATGCACATTTGCATTTTTGAATGCTTCACCGACCAGTAGCCATGGGTATTTCAAATTTTCAAAACACGCATACCATAATTATCATGTTCTAAAGAGCCGCGTAAAAAATCAAGTCTTGTTTCGCGCTTTTTGGTGTAAATGTACTCGTGCACGCCACGATTATCGTGAAAGTGGGGCCCCAGCTCGCTTGCACTTTTCAGCCACTTTTCTCGTTCACAGGTAAAATACCATAGCAACTTTCCGGTGCACGTGGATTTGCCTGTCGTGTGAATACCCCATTACTGTTGATTCATGTACGAGCATTGGGTTGCCTTGCCTACAGCTATGATCTACTTATCTCCAGCTATCCTGTTGCACTCTTCTTTGCCTGTGAATCCATGCAGGTAGTGTCCTGGAGAGTGATCAAGATCCTGCTGCGCTTCGGTAAGCCGCAGGAGACTTTGTTGTTGGAACGCTGCTCGCCCTTGTCACCAACTAGCCCCATGAGCATCTTCCTGTGCATGGATATGCATCGCAAAGCGTTGATGCCCACACGGGTTTGACCCGCCCGTTCCTTTCATTTTCTCATGCCACGATGGTTCCAAGAGAATTCCAGACTGACTGCTAGATGTCTAGAAGATCGGCTGTTTGTGTACAAATCTGCACATCAGTGGACAGGGACTGCTTGGTGGTAGATACAGTGAAACATGTCTAAGGCGACCCCTCAAGGGACGAGAAAAAGTGGCCGCCGTGGCCAGGTGGTCTTCTTATCCAGGTTCAGTGGGTCACGTGACCATATCCACGTCATGATACATGTGATGCATCATTTTGATCAGTGTAGCACAGTGCACACATCCATGCTACTCTCGCACGACTCCTGAGTCATGTGCCTGGGGTCCTCAGACCTGGTACAGTGAACCCTGTCTAAGACGACCGCTCAAGGGACCTTCAACATGTGGTCTCTGTTGCCAGGTGGTCTCCTTATCCAGGGTCATTTGACTGGAAATAGCATCTCTTGGTCTTGGTTGCAGTGGTCTTTTGGGACAGGTGGTCGCCTTATCCAAGTGGTCGCCTTGACAGGTTTTACTATAGTAGTACGTATCAAATGTCGTGCATGCACCATGCACATCTACACTTCCTGCACTGATGTGTAGATCTACCATGCATGGTAGAGGCGACGGTTCGATACCGGAACGGCTTGACAGCCAAATTTGTATAGACCCAAAACCGATCATCAGCGTTGATTGTTCACTCGAAATATGTTTGTGGAAGGAAAATGGCATGTTGACGTTTGCTCTGAGGCCAGAGTCAATCGAACTGAGCCACTCCTTTGTGTTGACCCATTGCCTCCAATTTGCCCAATTTTTCGCTTCAAATCAGAGATGGCTCCAAACCGGACAGGTTTTAGAGTGCACGTCAAATTCACTCTGGGTCTGAAATTAGGTAATTGCTATCACTCCACGACGGCCAGTACAGAGTAACAATAAGCCTTGTGTGTGCTTCCATTAGTTTTGATTGGTATGCGGTGCTTTATTGGCGAGAGGCGAGCCGCTGTTTACCTGCGACAAGAAGTTGATTTTTCGAAAGTCGTAAAACTCAAGTCGCAGTGCGAAGCAACACGTCAAAAACTCACCTGCTTGGTATGGCGCTTCTGGTCATCGCAGAGCCATGAAATTTTGGCTTGGAGTATAACACATCGTAGTCTCACTGTGACATATGTTTCTAATCAAAATACCAAGAGAGAAAGTGAATATTGAGTCCGTTCCGGTTTGCAACCTATGTCCTATTTGAAACCGTCGCTTCGACACCATGCAATGCATACATTTACATGTACTAGCACTGTGCAACGCGGTCGCGGGCGGGTGGGTGGTCGTTGGTCGCGTTGAGCGAGTGGTCGCCTTATCCGAGCTGTTTTGAATGTTAATGCGTCCGTGACAAGGAAAGGTGGTCGAGTGGTCACCATGGTCGAGTGGTCGCCATATCCGAGTGGTCGCCATATCCGAGTGGTCGCCATTACAGGTTTTACTGTACTAACGTTACACCGCCTTGGTCTAAATCATTTTCTCCACACCCAGTGGCAGGATCACCGCCTTGGTCTAAATCATGTTCTCCACACCCAGTGGCAGGGTCACCGCCTTGGTCTAAATCATGTTCTCCACACCCAGTGGCAGGGTCACCGCCTTGGTCTAAATCATGTTCTCCACACCCAGTGGCAGGGTCACCGCCTTGGTCTAAATCATGTTCTCCACACCCAGTGGCAGGGTCACCGCCTTGGTCTAAATCATGTTCTCCACACCCAGTGGCAGGGTCACCGCCTTGGTCTAAATCATGTTCTCCACACCCAGTGGCAGGGTCACCGCCTTGGTCTAAATCATTTTCTCCACACCCAGTGGCAGGGTACTCTAATTTCAGAAATGTTCGGTGCTCAGTATTTTCGGTATGAGGGCGAAAGGCCAGGTTAGGCGAACAGAAATTTTCAGTGCAGAGAAGCAGTTCCCTATTGGATTATGTGTGTTAATGTTTGTTCGGTGTATTGAAATTTTAGGTATGAAACAGATGCACCGAAAGTACCGAAAATAAAAGTACACCAAAAATTTGTGAAATTACAGTATTTGTTCAACGTTCTCACTCGCTGTTTTCTGTGTAGGTGGCGTCATTCCGGCTGGACGATGCCTTCTGGAGCATCTTGGTATTGCCGTTGGACCGCCTCGCGTTCCCGATCGTGCACCGGATGCTGCCAAAGTCAAGCTTATGATCCAGGAGCTGAAGGCAACTGGCCTGTTTCAGTTCACTTGAGCTGTGCGCTGGAGTCGCCAATGTTCAGGGTTGAATGTTTTCCTCCGCTGCTCCAACTGTTTTTCGTTTCTTTTTTAATATTTGGGGCTGGTCCCGGATGTTCTGTTAATCTGTAGTGTTATAGCTCTTGACAATCTACGTTTCCCTGAGAACGCCGTTGCAGGCGTGCATTCTCGTTCATCGCCTTTTCTTGTGACTCCCACGCCAGTGACCCAGAGCACTCACGGCCCGCATTGCGTGCGCGTTACAGCATAGAAAATGTCATGAAATTCCTGAAGTGTAGGGCTAGACAAATGCAAATGCCATGTCTTCTTTTTTTTTTTTTAAATATTAGCCATGACCAACTATCTCATCGATCCGTAGCTGTTAGTTGTTGACTTTTATCGAAGCTCGTCAATTTTTTACTGCATCTGTACCTGACAGAATGAATATCTTTTATGTAGAATTCCCTCTTAAATAAATGCATTAAAAAAATGTTGATGCGTCACTTTGCAGGTTAGTTGCACAAGTGCAGCGTGGTTGCGGTTCGGGCCGTGACCCCAGTGCAGTCGATGGCTGGGTAAGCACAGGATGTTGTACTGGGCGTGCTGCGGCCCGCTGACCTTTGTATTATTATGTGGTGTCGCAGGGTTATAGCCAAAGGCACAGCCCCCCCCCCCCAATCATTTGGCGATTTTTCAGGCAACGACAATGCAGCCGATATACTAACACAGGGTCCATAAAGGCACACTTGGTTGAGGGTTTGCCCCATAGGTTTACGAGAATTTCCCAAAAGCATTTTCGGCGAAGTTTCGGGCATATTACACCGGGCCATAAGTACTAGCCAGTACAACAGGGAGAGAGAAAGCGCTTGGGGGCTCAACGAGTAAATCAATTACATGTACATGTACTTGCATTATGAATCTATGATCTTTGCATCGAATGGAGTACATGCACTATTGTTATTATAATTATGCTTTTGACTAGTTTTGAGAGTGCGTTCAAGTCGGTCTGTTGACCACTGTGCGTGCGTGTGTGTGTGTGTGTGTCCAGTATACTTTGTCTCGACCAGTGTTGTTGTTGGGGCCTGGGTGCGGGCGGGGGGGGGGGGGGGGCTTACAATGTTGCATGCTAGCCAATATCTAGCTCACACTGTACCCCATCGTAACCCATCCCCCTGCAATGTGTTGTTTTCCTTACTTGCTAGACTGATTTTATATGATTCTGGACTGATTTGAATCATATTATCTTCCTTTTTGGCCATGGGCCATCGTGGAAATAAAGAATAATAATAGCTCTGCCGAGCGCTAGCGCCCAGCACACCTGAGCTGAAACTGTGTAGGAAAGGAAAGAGGAAAAGTGTGACTATGGCCCAGTAATGCAGTATAGTAGTAGGGGGTACTAGATCTACACTACTATTGTCAGCTGGCGAGCTGAGAGAGGAACGCCATGGGCAGAAGTTGGAGCAGAAAAAAAGACTCCTTAAAAGAATTAATTAAACTCGGATGGAGAGCCATGGATTAAAATTAAAAAAGAGGACCAAAAGTTTACAAGTTATCCGTTTTGTCCAACACTAACGGTTATAAGCAGAATAGTGTTGAGTCAAAAATGTGCAACAATTAGCACAAAAACCGACTGATGAGATCCTGACGTTCAACGACCTGATGCTTAGCTGCATCACGTCTAGAATTCGCAAACCAGCAGCCTTCCAACTTGGAAGATTCTAAGTTATGAAGTAACGTAAGAAAGGGGAAGGCTTCCCCTTCAAGGTGAGCGCACTCTAGACGAAAACAAGCTAAACACCACGGTGAACTAAGAATGTTAGCTATGACAAGATCGTGATGCAGCTAAGCATCAGGTCGTTGAATGTCAGGATCTCATCAGTCAGTTTTTGTGCTAATTGTTGCACATTTTTGACTCAACACTATTCTGTCTATACAATGTAACCGTTGGTGTTGGACAACACGGATACCGGTAACTTACTTGTAAACGTACGGTCCTCTTTTTTAATTTAAAAGAGTTTATTTTTCAGGTTAATATTAAATTAGCCACTATTTTTGTGGTATGACTATCAAGAAGACATCCATATCCAGGAGCGATCACAGAATACACGACTGACGTAACCTCGTTAGGAGAAGTCTGTAAAAAAACTCCTCATGGGTAGCACGGGTGCCCGACTACGAGGTGATTTGGCTTTTTTTTAACATTTGGCATTTTTTAACAAATGTGTAAAATTTGCTTTTCTTCTGGCTGTTTCTCTGCTCCGGATGGCTGTATCGAAACATGGGTGGTGGCAAATGAGAGCCAATTTATCGTAGATCCTCATTGACCAGAAAATTTGGTGCATATAATTTAATTCTCCCTGCCACGTTGGTATAACTAGTGGTGGGTGCTTTGCCATTTTGTGTAAAATGTGTAAAATGAGCCCCTGAATGGACGAGGAGGGCAGTGAATTGCTTCCGCAGGGCCTTTGGACGACGTCAGGCCGTCTTGCCATCACTAGAGACAGTAATGAAGAACAGTAGGTCACTGAATACACTCTGTGAGAACGAAAACATCGCTGCGATGCTGTGGTATCTATCCAATTCCACCGTATAACACAGCCACTAGTTACAAATACAAAAACACGGCTTTCGCAGCATACAATGCAGTTCACTCCTCTGTGGACAGATTAATTTTCATCCACTAGCAATCCTTGAAGTGATATCTATCAACTTCAGAACATTGATGACCGAATATCCCAGTTTGTGATGCCATTTTACAAATTTGTTAAAAAATGACACACCAATTATTTGAATCCTGAGAATACTATGAAAGTAGGATATGATTCAAGACACTTTCCAAAGTGGGATCATTCCCATTTTTGGACACAACGGGCATGAAGGATAGCACTTCCACTTGCAACAATTCATTTGGACGTAGCTTGTCTAGAAGTGACTGAAAAAACGTCATTTTACAACCATGTTAAAAAAAGCCAAACCACCTCGTACCCGTGCACTCCAGTTGGGGCTCGGATTGGAAAGTACAGTTCGAGCCAGCCAAATCCCTGGCCCTCACAATTTCCCACCATCGACATCGTCGTCATTTGCCACTACCCCCCCCCCCCCTCCCCCCCCATTGTCTTCAATGGAACTCCTGCCCTCCATCAAAGTACTCGGCGTCACGTTTGACCAACAGCTAAAATTCAGCCAGCATATCCGAACCGTTGTAGTCCGAGCAGCGCAGACTTGGAGCCTTGCGCAAGGCATTTCACTTGCTGACTATTCCTGCCCGACTTCGAGCATACAAAGCCTTTGTCTGGCCGGTTATGGACACACCAGCCCAGGACCACAAGCCTCACCCACCAGGCTGTACGACTATCCACCGCGCATCCCCAGAATGTTCTTCCTACCAATTCCCGGAACAATGTTAGGCCGCGGAGCCTTTCCCCACTCCGTTATCCCCATTTGGAACCAGCTGCCTGGCTCTATCATTCCCCACCCATTTCACCCAGAGAACATCCAAAAGTTGGTTGGTTGGTTTGGTTGCATGGTCGGTTTATTTTAATTCGCACAATAAACGGGAACTAGGCCCAATGATATAAAGGCGAATGGATAAGCCGCATTTAGAAAAGAGAGGACAGGAAATAGAAAATTTCGAAAGAAGTATCTGACAGAGGAGTCAAGCGAGTATCAGCGGTGACAGGGTGATCGAGGAGAGCTAGGGGGCGGGCTAGTCTGAGCAACAAGATGGTAGGCAACCTATGCTAAACTTTTCCTGTCTTGCAGTTCAAGACAGCAGCTTATCACCATCTCCTCAGAACAAACTGGCGCTGGGCCACTCATAGCATACGCGAGTAAGAGCCTGGGTACAGTGTCCGACCCTGCTTGGACAAAGTCTCTCCTCACAGACAGTCTCCTCTTGAACTTAAACTTGTGACTCTACTTTGAAGTAACAGTAACCATGGTAACAGTGATGGTTCACGTCATGACGTCAATACTCAACTCATTCTTTTGCTCACTGTGCAATACAATCTTTTTCATTTTCTTTCTTCTGTTTTCTTTTTCAACTTATTAAATCCTCCCTACCCGATTTCCCTTTGGTGCGTCCATGGAGCTATGAAGCCGAGACCTCTGGTCGGCTGGGCTTAATGAGCCCCACCACCACACTCCATTATTCACCCCAGTGTCTGGAGATATGTGGGTTTTGTAGGAAAAAAAAAACAAAAACAAAAAACACCACTACTGCTCTCACCACGACTGCAAGAGTACATACGCTTATGTACAATCATCATGTACTCTGTCTCTGACTGTCTTGGGGGCTGCTGCCTACCCTGTGTACATGACATTTGTGCTGCTCAGCAACTAATAATTTGCACAGGTGGCCCGGTGTCAATGAACCCAACAAAAACAACAATAGACGTTGATAAATATGGTGGTAAAGACACACCTGGCAATATGGCGGTAAACACACGCCTGCCCACACACGGTTTCTAGGCTGCAAAGTTCTGGCACGGAGCTCTCCTTCTCACCACCACCACCATCAGTTCGCGCCTGGTCGATGCATGGCTGGCGGTATCCCGCATAGCAAGCTGGTACATCAAGTAGCGCATGGCACATAGATGATGACACAGCAACGACATAGCTCGATTGCGACGTACGTTTCGTCCCCGCTGGACTCATCAGGCAATCTTCTTCTTGGATGTCTTCATACGGAGCTTGACTGAACAATAGACGTGCTATAACTAAAAGAGTTGCTGTGCTTGGCCCACTTCAGTCTTCTGTCCTGTTATCGGTTCTCGTCACAAAGGTCTTCAATCGGAACACGGGCCGTAGTCTTTGCTCTGTCTCTTTATTCGTTCTTGTCATCGGTATGCGTTTTCATCTCCCACACTGACCTAAGACTCCTTGTCCTCGGATCGTTTGCTCCTGTGTTTGTGTTGTTAGTACGTCACTGTATGCACTAGGCTAGTGAATGCAGTAACCCTACTACATGTACTGACACTGTACAAGTACGCACAAGTCTACAAATTAGTACAATAGTCATGTACAGTCAACTTCGCTTATAACGACATTCGGCGGGGCATCAAAAAAGTGTCGTTATTCGCGAAGTGTCGTTATACCCGAAGTCTCATGTATTACAGTTATTATTATTTATTATATTATTATTTATTCTTCTTTTACTAGGGAATTCCCAACAGGCGTCAGCGCCTTTTTACAGGGAACCCTACAGTGCATTTCAAAACTATAGACGCGTAGGGTTTTTGAAATATTTCAAATCTGGCTGGAACATTTTGAGAATACTTTTCGGAATATTGCTCAGGATCGCTCCACAATTACTCTCATTTACATGTAGTTTCTAAAGGATTGGATAACAGACGCCCAATTTGGAAAAATTTATGCACAGAGTGATCACAGATTTTATGTGGTATAGATGCTGGCATAACGGTTTTTGCCTAGGTACGCGTCTATAGTTTTGAAATGGACTGTAGGTATAATTTGATGGATGAGCGAAATTCAGCTGGTGAACTGTTGGAAGGGACTTTGCTCTGGGCATGGAAATGCTGTCGTTATTCACGAATAATTGTCGTTATATCCGCAGTCGTTATTAGCGAAGTTGACTGTAGGTCTTCTGAAAACCTCCCAATGATCATGAGACAGGCATGGCTGTGTAAACTAAAGCTGGTTATGTGCAAATTTCTTTAGCTTGACCCTCTACTCGAATTGGAGGCTGCACATCCCAGCTGGAACAGTGGAAGAGAACTTGGTCAGGCTGAGATTTAGACCTGGAGGAAAATCAGTTTCAGGCCTTTTCGGACAGTTCTGAAGAAGTAATTTTTAAAAGTCCATTCACCCCACGTGTATCACATGTGGGGTTTATGAGAGAGAGAGAGAGAGAGAGAGAGAGAGAGAGAGAGAGAGAGAGAGAGAGAGAGAGAGAGAGAAAGGGCAGAAAAAGAGGGTGCCCTTAAAAATAAATTTGAGATTGGGGATTGAGAAAAAATATAAAGGAAATCGAAGAAACGGCAATGACTCTGGTAAGTAATGTTACTATCGTACGAACACGGCTGGGCGAAGAAACAAAGATGTAATAAATAGTGAGGTGACAGTTTATGTCATTTCTACATAAGAGAGAGAGAGAGAGAGAGAGAGAGAGAGAGAGCGAGCGAGAGAGGAAAGGGAATCGAAGAAAGGGTAATGAGAAACTGTCCCACCAACACGACCGGGTGAAGAAACCAAGACGTAATAAAAAAAAAATGAGGTGACTGCTCATGTCAATCTTGCAAGTGTGCTTTCAGTTCCCTCGTGAACTATTGGCCAGTTAAAATGTTAAAATAAATAAGTTCAAAGATTGGACAGTTAGCCTATAAGATAAGTCTAAGGTCAACTTGGCCCATAAAAAACTGCACTAGTGTACACTGATTGAACGGTATTTGAAAATACTATAATTAGAGACACCTGAAGCGTCCGAATGCCTGTCAAAATAGACATCATCAGGTGAGGGGGTGAGATTCGTATGCCTTGCATGGTCTCTGCCCGTAGGTATACACATGCATAGATAAAGTCCCTATAATTTGTAGTTCCCATCTGACTAAAGTGATGCACATGGTGACCATGGTGACATGATCCATGGCCAGTGCTACTGCAGGTCACGGCCATTATTATCGTCGCTGTTACTGAAGGCCATGCATGGTATAGTTAAAAAAATATCGCCATATTGTAGAGTTCCTGCAGTCAGAGGTACAAAGATGCTATGTGCCATGCGCAAAAACCAGTACTCATCTTAAACGTTTCCTCCAATCATAGATCCCTGCTAAAGGCACCGCAAATAAATATAGAGGCTTACTGGATGAGGGACGCGAGCTCATGTCTCGAAGGTATTGGGAGAAAACCTGCTCGTCAATAGTTGTGCTCCGCAGTACACTAACGCAAGTACTTGTCGTTGATAAGGGCATATTCCACACACCTTCTTCCATCATAAGGGTTGATCTCCTTGTAATACACACGGAAACCCATGGTATTGAAATCCGAGAACAGCTTCTGGAATACTTTCAGACCGTTCTTCCAGTTGCTACCGTAGTTCTCGTTGGCCAGGTGCACCTCAAGCATGATAAGCTTAGCACCTGGCCAGTTCTTGGCATTAGCTGCAAGGTGAGAGAAGGCATCAAACTCACTACCTTCAATATCTATCTTCAGCACATCAATGACCCTGTTCTGATGTCCCAGGGACGCCTGTATGCTCAGCAGATCCTCCAGTTTGACATTGCGCCCTCCATAGCTGTTGATGCCGTTCAGATAAAGAGACTTTGTGTACCCACCCAGACCAGTAGGGTGGAACGAGACCAGCTTCGAGCATTGACTTGAGGAGAATCCTTCGACAACACCCGGTGTCGGGTCAAACACGTGTATATCAGCTGTCGGGAAATCCTTTTTCAGCTGCCTTTCAAAATCACACTCAAGCTTGGAGCCAAACGAGTACACGAGAGGTTGGCGGTGCGTTAGGAGCCGCTTAGCGTCGCACATTTCCTTTCCACCGTCGCCAAGTGTCCCCAAACGCTGCATGATGTTGCAACTCCATGTTGGCTCGACGCTCCAATGGATATAGGCGGGCGACATTCTTGGGTCAGCAGGGCTCCAATCCGCGCGATTGCTACTGGATAACTCCCCATTGAGGTACTGCCAGTAGAGCTTCCGCTCTTTCATACCCTGTGCGTGTATACGCTCTTTCTCAGCGTGCATGTCGCCACTGGTAGTTGTTGTCAGGTTGCATGGAGCAAGGAATGAGGCCCTATTCTGGCGTATCACCACAGGACTTGGTACTGCATTTTCCAGAGTAGGTTCCTGGGTTCTTACGGCAGATGTTTTCTCAACTAATACTTGCTTCTCAGAATTCCTTCTTGTTGGTCGTCTGCCAGGTGGTATAGATACATTCTTCGCGCTAGGCGTGACTGTCCGCTGTTCCCACGGCCGCAGCAAGACAATATTTAGGCCGAAGCTAACCAATAGGATGAATCCAATTGGGCTATTCAGGGCAGCCAATGGTGACGGCTTCATACTAGTTCGTCAATTTGTTTCCTCACACTTGCATCCAGAAAGCAACAATTATTTATTGCGATTCGAAGACCTGGCCGAAAATCTGATACAAAGATTGCTATCTGTGTCGTTGCCTAACTCTCCCTCAACTGCGTCTCTTTACATGTGGCAAGAGGACAATACCCGTACCCCCGGCTTCATCGGTCCAGCTCTTGCCTTTTGCCACCGACAAACGAAGCTCAAAGGAGCTCCATGAAATTGAAAGCTCGTACAACATGCCCCCAAAAAGTCAAAAGCCAGCAAAAAACACTTTTGCGGCACACCCCGACTCGATGAGTGTATGGGCCAGTATCGACCCTGTACTGTACAGCTGTACGGTTAACCGGTTTTGAACAAAGTGGCACGTGGACCTGGTGAACCTGGTGAACCTGAAGTAGTGAACCTGGTGAACCTGGTGAACCGTGCGCGCAAGCACTCGTACTCTGACTCAATAGGGCGCCATCCCTGATCGGCTGGCGCGCCAGTGCTCAAAAAGACTCGAGGACAAACGCTGCCTCCTCATTTCTCCTCAGACCCGTACCCAGGCCGTGCAGACTGCAGGAACAGCTACTAGTAGGGCCCGGTCACACATTCACTCGAAAGTAGCGGATCCGCTGAAGAGACGTCGCAGGAGCGAAAAATACCATTGCAACGGCGAAAAGCGGAACTTTCGCTTCAGCCGAAACTCAAATCCGCTTCCTCCAAAATTTTCGAAGCGAGTGTAGTGGGTTGCTAATAATGTCGGCCTTCGGTTTTAACGATTTGTTTTACGGAGATTTTCCATGTGTTTTGAAATTAAAATTAATTATTTTGCATTCTCAAGTTTGTCATAACTCGTAACATTTTGTCCTTTTCCTTTCTTCATCATACATGTAACTCCTTTTATTGCGCGTTGTAATTATTACATGTTTGTACATATTACCGTAAAATCCCGCCAGAGCGCCCCGTCTCTCCCATCCGCCCCTCCCTGACTTCTTGTCAGGCTGTGTTTACTAGTACATGAAGCGTTTCAACCCGGGTTGAGTTCGACCCGGGTCAGATTTCAACCCGCCATGTGCACAAAGTGAATGGCGCGTTTACACCTCGACGCATTGCGCTTGACCCGGGTTGAAATCAACCCGGGTCAAGAAAATCGTACAAACGTACTTCTGTGCGTATCTCGCGCCATGCGCCAGGTTTGAACAGCACTGCAGATGCAAATTTCGCGCGAACGGATTCACGTTTTTTTTTTTTTTTTTTTTTCACACGGAAAACTGAGCCTCTTGTACGGGCAAAATAACACTTTTTGTGAAGAATCAACACACAAAAAACGAATCATCAGATACAGTATTTACAGAGTCTGTCACCATGGTCACTCAGTAGGATCACTGCACTGTGCAGGTTCACTGGATGCGTGCCTCCGCCGCCACTAGCACAGCAGGGGACTCAGGCATGGCAGGAGCAAACATGCTCCTTGAGCCACGCAGGCACATAGCACCACAACGCACCAGGGCAAACCCAAGGCGGCAGCGCAGCAAGGAGATAACCTGCCCGTATGGCTCCTTACTCTTCTCAGCCAGGAGAGAGGCGATGCGCGTGAAAAGAGCATTGGCATGCTTGCCATAGCCACCAGAGGCAGAGAGCACAACGGGCACGAAGGAGGCATGCTCAACTTCACGTACTCGCTCCTCGTACTTCCGGCGCTTTTCCTGTTCATGGCGTCTGTAGCTAGCAGCGAGGGAGGTGGCACGATTCGAAGACGCAAAAGGGTTGAACACCCGTACATCAATAAAGATGCGCTCGAATCGGCCACCCCACACACCACTAGCCGCAACGTCCAGCCGAGCTTGCTCCTCCGTGACAGCTGTGCGATGGCGGAAGGCCTCTCCGGTGACGGGCTGGAGGTGGGGTTCCACTGTCACGTTGTGAGCGACCTGCCTCAGAGCTCTGGCGGTGATGTCCCTCACCTCGTTGTGTCGCAGCGTCGGGAAGCCACCAAACGGGCACGACAGGGCGTGACTCACATTCAGCGGCTTACTGCACACGCAGAGGCTTGGGAGCCGAGGAGGTGTCCAGCCGTACCGGAGGCACAGGCCATCCCGGAAATCTCCCTTGCTGAGTGTGAAACCATGGCGGCTGAGGGGGCGGCAGGTCAGCCAGCTGGATGCACCCTTTTCTGAGGCCAGGTCGAGAACAGGGGCCAGCTCCCGGTGATCCGAGCGAAGAGCGTCAGCCATAGACTTGAACGCGCTCCGCTTCTCGGCCCGAACCGTCGCCTTGACCGTCCGGAGCTGAGTCAGAGAGTCGCCAAGAGACGACTCCTGCTCCAGCAGGCGAGACACGAGGCTAGCCGTGATCCTTCGGGATGAGGTGTACTGTTCAGCCACTGAACAAGGACGGATTCACGTGACCATACAGGACTGTAGAAGTGGACTTTTGGCGGCATATCAGTATTCGAAAGTGCCCCTTTGTTACGGCAGAGCTACAAGCACTAATTCGGAGGCGCAAAGCGGCCTTTCGCACGTGGCGCAAGGGAGGTTCCACAGACACCAAGCGTTACAACAGCTTTCAGCGCCTTCGCACCCAATGTAACAATCTCTATCGTCGTCTGCGGAACCAGCACTATCAGAGAATTTGTGCCGAATACAGAAAATCTCCGCGTCGCTTATGGGCTACAATCAACTATGTGACAAAGCGTAAACCAAAGTCGTCTCCCATTCTTGCACCTAACCTGAATGACCACTTCCATGCTATAGTCCACGACCCCACAAGCACGTACGACCTGCCGTCTGGACCGGTCCTTGAAGATGCATTGACCTCTTTCGATCGGGTCAGCACTACAGAGGTAGAGCGTGCTCTTCGCTCCCTTATACCGTGCAAGGCACCGGGTCCAGATGGCCTTCTGCCTGGTTTCCTCAAGGCCATGGCGTCCTCCTTGGCGCCTTCTTTGGCACAAATCTTCAGCGCGTCTCTTAGCAGTGGAGTGTTTCAAGGGCCTTCTGCCTTTAAGCGAGCCAACATCACCCCGATCCCAAAATCCGCTCAGACCGACGTCTACAACGCAACGAGCTACCGCCCAGTTTCGCTGACGTCGATCCTGTCCAAAGTGTTGGAATCCGCGGTAATGTCGCAACTATTCTGTCACCTGGACTCGACTGCATTCCTACATGATCACCAATTTGGGTTCCGCCCAAATCGCTCCGTCCATCAACTGCTCTCTTTGGCAATTAATGACTGGTGTCTTGCTCGGGACCAGAGCCTGACCTCTGCTGTCGCGTTTGTTGACCTTAGTAAAGCGTTCGATCGTGTGCAGCATCAGCAGCTACTCTTGGCTTTGCACGAGATTGGTATCAGCGGATCAGCACTCTCATGGTTTAAATCCTACCTTTCTGGCAGAGCCCAGCGGGTCCTCAGGTGCGGTGAGGTCTCTCCATTTCTACCTGTCACTCGTGGGGTCCCGCAAGGCAGTGTCTTGGGCCCAACTCTGTTTAACATCTATGTTCGCCGCCTTCCTGCAACTGCTGACACATCCGGGACGAAATTGCTCGCTTTTGCGGACGACAAAACGGTGTACGCATCCTGTCCGACGGCAAAGGAGGCTGCAGATTTAGTTTCCCACACGTTATCAGCACTCGCTACTGATCTTCAGCAACTTGGCCTGACTATCAATGAGAATAAGACTGTTGTAATGTTCATCGCTCCCAAGCGCTCGCCGGTCTGTCCCACGCCCACTATCTGTATCGATGGTAAAGTGCTGACAGAAGTGTCCAGTGCTCGCTGTCTGGGGGTTGTAATTGACAACAAGCTCTCGTTCACACCTCATTGTGATAAGCTTGTTGCCAAGGTGTCACGCAAAATTGGTGCTCTACGGCGTTCTTTTCGTCAACTGTCCCCGTGCGCTTGTCGCCTTTATGTGCTATGCGTAATTCAATCTGATCTAGAATTTGCATTTCAATCGTTCTTACCCTGCTTATCTGCAAAAGACCGTGGGCGCCTATTTGCTGTTCACCGTCGTGCGATCCGAGCTGCCTGTGGTGCCCATTACTGTGCTGACGTGGACCCCTTTTACCACTCTCTTAAGCTATGTCCTCTGGACCACCGTTTCCTACAGTTGTTCATTAAATTTATCTTTCAGTGTAAAGTAGCTCACCCGGTTGCCAGTTTAGATTCTCTATTTTGTAGGCACAGTACACCTGCTTACACCACTCGCGGCTCTTCTGCAAATAATCTTTCGTTATGCCGATATAAGACTGCATGCGGGTATCGCTCATTGTCTAGTAGGATTGCTTTACTTTGGAATGCTCTGCCCTTCGAAATGAAGTCTTGCAATACGTCTTCTGCATTTAACGCCCATCTTGCCTGCCTTCTTAATGACGGGCCACAATGTACCCGGTTAAAACAGCTCCTTTTTGAAAATGTTTTCGATGAGTGATGTGTCGCTTTGTTTTGCTCTAGTTGGTGCTTTTCTCCAATGTCATGCAGTCGTATTTATTCAGCTTTTATTTCTTGTGTACTTGCATACTGGTATTAGTTTAGTCCCACAACCTGCGATAAAATGATCCGCTGTAGCACCTACTCCACTTTTATGTTTATGTATCTATGTCATTCGGATCTTCCCAAGTTGTACAATGTACTGTTGAGATACCGAATTCAAATAAATCAATACCATACCATACCAAGAGCCAGTT